TCAGGGGGGAAAAAGGGCCACGAACCACGTGTCAGGGGCGGAAAAATGGCCGCGGACCACGTGTCAGGGGCGGAAAAATGGCCGCGGACCACGTGTCAGGGGCAGAAAATGGCCGTGGAGCATGTGTCAGGGGCAGAAAATGGCCACGGACCACGTGTCAGGGGTGGAAAATGGCTGCGAACCACGTGTCAGGGGCGGAAAAATGGCCGCGGACCACGTGTCAGGGGCGGAAAAATGGCCGTGGACCGTGTCACGGGAAGGAAAATGGCCACATATCCTGTTCGTACCCCGAGGCGGAGTTCGCAAACCGAGGCAAAATTTTGCGGCCGGAGCTGGTCGTAACCCGAAAAGTTCATTAATAGAAGCGAAAATGGCCACATATCCTGTTCGTACCCCGAGGCGGAGTTCGCAAACCGAGGCAAAATTTTGCGGCCGGAGCTGGTCGTAACCCGAAAAGTTCATTAATAGAAGCATTCGTAACCCGAGGTTCCACTGTACAATAAACACGTCTTGGAATCCCTGCCATGCCTATTTCTTGACCTGACCTACCTTGAAGGGCTGTCATCTCCTTGGAAATGTTTGGCTTACTTCTCTCAGATCAAGTGCAGGAGCAGCTTACCCATCTGTGTGCACATGACCAACACACTGAAAATGACAACCAGAACTTCTCTCTTCATGTTGCTTCTCCAGTTTACTCCGAGCATAAAAAAAATCAATCTCTGGACAGGTTCTGCCTTAAGCGATTCTGGGACAGATGGAGGTCTGTAATGTTGGGCTGTCTTGCCTGATAGGGTGTATCTCTTTCAAAGTACTTCATGTGGGAGTCAGCAGGGAAAATGAAAAAGATGGACTTCTCCAAGGTGGTGCCCTCTGGACATGTTGGATTACAGCTTCTAAGACTCCAAGCAACCATAACAGTTCCCTCATCCCTATATGCTAGATCTCTTTTGGAAGCAACATTACAAGTGCCCCTGTATGTGGGAATGATGGTGACATCACAACTGATAATCTCAGTAGCTTCTGGATTTTGCCTATATTTCCAAATCACAAAGAATCTTATGGCACCTTAAAGACCAACAAAAGCAAATGATTTCATTGATCACAAACCACTTTGTCAGGAAGTACATCTTCTCTGTTGAGGCACCTGCCCTCTGCAATGCGGTCCCCCTGAGATTTGGACAGCTTCCACCCTGATGGTGTTCTAGAAGGCCTTAAAGACCTTGGTGGTCTTCCAGGCCTTGGAGTAGATGGATAGAACCCCTTGTTAGATGTGCTTGACATATGTTGCATATGTTTTAGTTGTTCAGATTTTCCATCTTATTTATTTCCTTCATTGTATTTTTATTTACCTCATTGTATTTGTATTTTGGGGTTGTTGTTTTTTTAGTTTGTGACGAGCTTAGTTTCTAGAGAGGAGAATTGTATTCACCTCTCTCTTGTTGGAATGGAGTAGGAGAGAGAATGAAGGAAAGGTAAAATGAGAGGAGAGGGACTTTCAGAATGATTTATACTGTAGACAGTGGCCATTGTCTTTTTTAAAAATATAATTTTATTAAGAATGTTGATTACAACAGTAAAAACTGATACAAACTAAACTTAGAGAAAGAAAATAGAATGGAAAGAAAGAATAAAAGGTGCAGGAAAAAAAAGAAAAAGAAAGAAAGAAGAAAAAGAAAAGAAATATATAAAGAAGTGACTTCTAACCTTCATCACAACAAGTATAAACAAATATAATAACTCTTCACCCCCCATAGGGTTAAACAGATATCTCTACATCTCATATCCCAAAACAACTTTTCAATCCTGGTATCAACAAAAAGTCCATAAAGGAAATGAATATTTCTGAAAACTGTAAATAGGAAAACCATTGACAGTTATGTCCCTCTGCCCTCAGTTCTCTTGATTTTATTTTGTATTCCCCTTGACAGAATTCTAGTATCTCATGATATGTTAAACATTCATGTTGGCCTATTATTTCTTGTCTATAAAATGCTTCTTGTGCTGAGAGCCACAAAGGTGTTTTAGGGCACCTGGATTTGTATCTATTCCATATTCTCAATATGGCTTATGTCTATCTAACA